GAAGTGCTGCCTGTGGGGATATTAGGGGATCTTCCCGCTGAAATCACCCTAATCTAGAGACTTCCTCACAGACGTAGCAGAGATCTCGTCCTATGTGATTCTAGATCCTGTTGGGTTGACAGTATTCATCATAATGTCCATCAAGCCAGCGTTTAGACTCATGATAACCAATGAGACTTGAGACCAGGAATGACGGAGCAAGGAATGAGGTTAACAAAGGGATGCCTGGAGCATGCCAAGTAGGCTAGGCTGTCTCCCTGCTGCCCAGATTAAAAGCACACACCAACGTGCCCAGGCCCATGCTTTGAAGGCAAGCACTTTACTGACTGAGCCATGTCTTCAGTCTCTTCTTTGCGAGGCAACAGTCATGGCTTTCGAAAGGCAGGACTGTGAGAAGAGGCAATGAGACCAAGGTGGAGGCCTGACTGACAAAAGCAGTGGCTTGGACAAGTGGGACTTGGGCACTATGGGCAGGGAAGGGGTGTTAGATGGAATCAACTCTATGCTTTTTCAGACTTTTTTGTATATATTTAGGGTGAGGATAGGATTTGCTCAAGTGAGAGATTGGAAGAGAATATGGACTCATCAGTAGCTAGATGGTAGCATTTGTCAAGTGGGGAAAATCCAAAGAGAGCTTCTTACAGGGGGAAATCAAGAGCCCTGTTTTCATGGGATGTTGGTATAATGTTCTTTTAGAATGTATACCCCTTATCCTTGTTCATTCAAATGCTGATTTCTCTCCCCCACTCTCTGGTTTCAATCCAAACATTGCACTATGATATTTATTCTAAGCGTCATCTGTCTCAACTTTGTGTAAACATGCCAAAATAAAACAACCATCCACAATGTTGAGCAATGGAGAGGAAGGAGTAGGAAGGAGAAGGGAGGAGCCAGAGGAGAGGAAGGGTAGGAGGCAAAGGAGGAGAAGAGGAGAGAGTTAGGAAAGAGAGGCTGGAGGAGAGGTCTTGGAACCATGTGGAGAGATGGACCAGACCTAATATATCACTAAAAGCAAGTATAATGTATAAAATCTGAATGGTAGGAACCTATGTGGGCTTGGAGGTTTAGGATGGAATAACTATTGGCCAGCATTGTGTTCTAGGTTAATTAAATGAATCCCAGTCTCTGTGTGGTGATTTGGTTATACAGCTGTTTAGGAATAACCACAGCATTACTAAAAGATATATCAATATTAAATATTAATAACGCCAACACAACAAATGGCACAATACAACAATGGGAAGCACTTTGCAGGATCCAGTAGCGAGGTGACCCAGGGAGCTGAAGTGTTAGTGACGGGGCAGAACTGGGATGTGCACTTGAAAGTGTCTCTATAAAGACAGTCTAGGGCACTTATGGACCACTGCATAGGGCTGGGCATGACAAGGGCTCTCCTTCAGCATCTTTCAGTAAAACTGTTCATCTCAAATCAAGGGGGTAGAAAAATCTCTCATGCACAGAAATAAGAGAGAAAAGTCAGAATGGAGATGTATAGACAGGAAAGAGTGAGGAGCCATCAAGTGTATGGAGAAAGCCATCAGTTGTTATAATTTGCCGCCTGCCCTCTCCTGCTCCTTTTAACTGAGTTTATCTATATCCTCCCTGGACTGAACAAAGGAAGGCTTTCTTGTCTGAATAGGTTGAGCAACTGACAAATCAAGTTCTAGAAGGATGGACAGACAGACAGAGTTCCACACATATCTCTAGCTAGCAAGCAATCTGTGTAGAGCCAACACGCTATTGGGTAACTAGGGGGTTGCTTAACTCAAAAAAAAAAAAAAAAACCTACAGAGAACCATTCCTTCCTTGTCCTGTACCACTGTTGTCACTTTGTTGACCCTGAAAGCCCTGTTTCATGAGCAGAGGATGAATTGGCAGTTAGGTGCTCAGTTCGTGATACAACTGAAAGAGCCTGTGTGACTAAAGTGCAACGTCGCTTCTTGCTGACTTCATCCCATTGTATGATAGCTCATGTCTCCTCTGCAAACCTCCCCCCTTTTTTAATGCTGTTATTGTTAATAAGTTTGCTTGACAAAAACCATCGGCTTAGGTAACACCTCCGGATCCCAGCTTTCCTGTCTTCTTTAATTTTCCTCATTCCCAGTCCACCCTCTCAGGAACCTGCACTGAAGCCAGCTGATATAAGTCACACCATGACCAAAGCAACTTATAGAAGGAAGGGTTTATTTAGGCTAACCATTTTAAAGGGGTAAGACTCCAGTGACAGAGCAGCCTGGCAGCAGGCAGCAGGCAGCAGGCAGCAGGCAGGAGGAGCATGCTCCAAGTTCACATTTTGGTAGACACATAGAAAGCAGAGAGAGGAAACTCATGGTAGGGGAAGGCCCTAGGTTCTCAAAGCCCACCCCCTGTAATATAGTTCCTCCAGCAAAGCCACAAATCCAAAAATGTTCCAAACAGCCCTTACAGCTGGGTACCAAATGCTCAAATGCCTGAGCCTATGGGGGACATCTCATTCACTCCATTGCACTGGCCTCTTTAGTGAGACCTTTTTTTGTGAGCAGTTAAGATACACCATAGGGCAATGGTACTGAAATCAAGGCCTGAGTTCAAATCCTCAGGGCAGCCTTTTGTGTCAGTGCGACTGCAGTGAGTCACTGTCCCTCTCTGATACTGTGTCCTCTTAAGGAGGATGGACAAAGCTCAAGTCCCTGTATACCATCTTCAAGGCAAGGACATGTGCCTGTCAATTGCACAAGCACAACTCAGTATCTAGAGGGGCAGGACAGGCAGGAAAAGGAAGTCAGCCAGCTCTGGCCTCAGTCTGATAGCAACCGAGGGAACAGAAAGCATTGTGAAATTCTGTTCCCATTAGACCCTCACACAGGGTCAGATACTAATGGGGCAGGACTAGCTTAAGCCCTTCAGGGAGGGGAGTCTTGGAGACCCTGCAGGTTCAGGATGCTCAGGCTTCATGGAGGTGTTTCCTTTATGTAGCCCAGAGTAGGGGTGATGTCTGCAGGAGGTCCTAGCAATGTGGGTGTAGAGACTGCACAGGCTAGACTTTGGGAAGGCTGCCCCAAAAGAAGTTGTGTGGACAGAGGAGACCAGGGACCACCCCCAACTGGTGGGTGCTTAGAGGTCTTCAGTGAAAAAGAGGTTAGATAGGAGAGCGTGAGAGGGATTCCCCACCTGTGTGTTCAGATGAGGGGTTTCTGCAAGCCAGCAATGCATGAGAGCTGTTCAGTCTCTCCCCATGTAAGAATTCCATGGCAGGGACACTGGGAACTGAGGAGTTGCTGTAGACACCCATTTCCTTTCCTCAACGCCAGTAGCCTGCATGGCTTCTCTTTTCTCAAACCCCAGGCCAGTCCCCTCCTCCTCCTTCCTCATCTTGCCTTTCTTTCTTGAGCTCCAGAGAACCCAGAACCAAAGTAGGGCAAGGGCTAGGAAGGGCAGAGCCACCAGGAGAACCAGCCAGTCCTTGAAGAGGAAACAGCCCCCTAAGCTATAGGCAGTGGGGACTGAACACCCCTGCACAGGCTCTCTGATTGGCCAGAAGGGGCAGGTGAACTAACCCTGTGGCCACAGCTGTGCACCCTCCCATAGAAGTTTACAAAGTGGCTGCAGAATGCATGCCTTGCTCTGCTTGCAGGGATGGGTGCTGCCAGGTCTGCTGTGAGCATCCTTGGACTTCCTGCTCCATGTGGCAGTGGTGAGGAGTCACCTCAGTTCGCCTGTCATCTGCTGAGCATCACTTGACCAAGTCCCCACTTCCCGCCAGACACCCTGCCTTGCCACAGACATCCAAAGGCTTACCACCCCTTTGCCAACTTGATCCAGGCTTACCCTGTCTCTCTCACCTCCTCACAAGCTTCCTGTGCTTCCTCAGTAACTGTAGTACTGCTACTCCTCCGGCCCTTTCTTCCCCAGAGACTTTCCCAAGTCCCAGACCAAGCTGGATCAGCCCTTGTTCCCTGACATCCTACCTGCTACACCACATTGTCATTTAGAGAGATTCCCATTCTTACAGGTTTTTAAATTTCAATTTTGTTGTTGATTTGGGAACAGGGTCTCATGTAGTTAATTTTGTGGTTGATTTGGGGGCAGGGTCTCATGTAGATAATTTTATTGCTGATTTGGGGGCAGGGTCTCATGTAGATAATTTTATTGCTGATTTGGGGACAGGGTCTTATGTAGCCCTGGCTGAACTTGCTGTGAACAAGCCAAGAATGAACTTGATCTCCACATGCTCCTGCCTCCACTTCCCAAGTTCTAGGATTGCAGTCATGCACCCCCATGCCTGGTTTTCTCCTGTTAACTGTGAGCAGCCTGTAGCTACTGATTTTTCACAGCTCACGGAATGGCAGTTATATTTATTTACTAAGTTTTTCACACAGGGAGAGTCAGAGGACTTTTGAGAGTTGGTTCTCTCCTTCCACCATGTGGGTCATGGGGTCAAACTCAGGTTCTCAGTCTTGGCAGCAAGTGTCCTTACCTGCTGGGTCATCTTGCTGTGTGGTGACAGTTATTGCGAAATGGGTTTGATGAATGCAGTCTTTCATGAAATGCTTAGCAGTGAGTGTGGCTTTGGGTACAGGGTGGTAACATGGGGCCTGGGGTGCCCCTTTCTTTTCTCTCCTTCTAAATCCTTCCTTCAAACCAAATTTTGCTGTTCCCCACCCTAACTAGAACCCCTCCCCCATTGCTTTTTCATTTCTGAAAATAAATGTCCCTCTCCTTTCTTCTCCTTCCCTCTAGTCCATATGGAAGTTTCTAGTTCTCAGGTGGGCTAGTCAGCAAGGCTCTGTCCCTGAGGGCAAAGTGGGCTTAGAGCTCTAGCCAGGTCCCCAAAGGGCCTCTGGGTCTGTCACACCACCTCCCTTCAGTGGGTGCCATACTTGGGTGGAAAACAAAACCTTTAAACTAAAGAGGAAGTGGGAAATTGAGCATGGGTGTGAGGAGAAATGCGCATACTCTTACTTCACCATGGTTTCCTCTTGGGCTTTCTCAGCTCTCCTCACTCCTGGCCTTATGAGACAGGAGACTGCAGAGTCTCTGAGAGCCTTCCTCTAGTGTAGTTCAGGAGCCTCAGTTCAAAGCTTGTAGCTGGAGGATCCTCACAGCCACATAGACCTTGCTCAGCTTTCCTCTTGTCCACAGAGGTCTCTGCCTTCCTCCATGCAGTACTGGACTGGCTGCAGCAGCTGCCTGAATCCTGCCCAGAGCTGCCTCCTCTCTTCAGAGCATCTCTAGCCTCTTCCTTCTTACTCCCCATCCCGGTTCAAGAAGAAGACCCATGGCCTGGCAAGCCAAGTCCCTGCTATTCCGCTTCCTGCTGGTGCTTCTGGCCCCAGGTGAGGACACGGACAAGGATGGAGGAAAGGAAGCAGGTTGAGGAAAGGGAAGGGGGTGGGGGGCCTGCAGGAGTGGGGCTCTGTGATTGGAAAGGCAGAATACTGGTGTTGTGGCCAGCGGCTGGCTCTAGGCCAATCCTGAGCATGGACACAAAGAGGGTCACTCTCTGAGAGGGGAACCCATCTTCTGGTCCTGCTGTGGAGGCTGGGGCTCTCTGACATGAACAATGTATTCCCAGACTCCTGGACACAGGACACAGAGTTCCTTCAAAGAATGGAGGGCCAGACTGTTTCTGTGACATGCCGGTATGGTTCCAACCAACGCTGGAAGGAGAAAGTCTGGTGTCAGAAAACATCAGCAGAAACTTGTCAAATCCTAGTGTCGAGTGTGAACACAGGAGCTGCAGGACTACGATACACCATCCAGGACCATCCTGAGTCTCACTTCTTCACTGTCAAAATGACTGCGCTCAAACGGAGTGACTCAGGCACCTATTACTGTGCGACCGCTGAAAATCGCAGAACCAACTCTACTTATGTGCAGATCACTATTCTCAGAGCCATCCGCCTGTCGGTGGCAAAAGGTGAGCTTCCCCCTCCATGTGCCTCTCAGCCTTCCTCAGTCACCTGGCTGCAGAGCTGGAGAGGACTCTAGAAACTGCTTCCTCCAGCAGAGGTCCTCAGCCTGTGGGTCACAGAACCCTGCGTATCAGATATTTACATTACGATTCAGAACAGTAGCAAAATTGCAGTTATGGAGTATTAACAAAGTAATTTTATGGTTGGGCTCACCACAACCCGGGGAACTGTATAAAGGGTCACAGTACTGGGAAAGGTTGAGAACCAGTGCTCTAGCAGCTGAAAACTGGGGCAGAGAAGAGAGGCCCCTCCCCTGAGACCACAGGCTGGTTAAAAGCTCAGCCCACCCTAACACCCAGACTTGCTGGCCTCTGGGAGGTTCTTACGGGGTTCTCTGAACACTTTTGCTGCTGTTGCTAACAGAAATCTTCCACTTATTTCTCTAAATATGTATTTAACTATAATTGCATGCTATAATGCCAATGCTGTAGAGCACAGCAGAGGTCAGAGGGCAGCTTTTTGGACTTGATTTTCTCTCTCTCCTCCATGTGGACTGAATTAGGCCATCAGTCTTGGCAGCAAGAAACTTTATCAGCTGAGCTATCCCCCAGTTCCATTCATTTGGAAGAATCTAAAAAGTTCCCCCAAGCTGTCACAGCCTTCCATTTCTGAACACCCCTTGCCTGTAATCCCATCAGAAACCTTCTCTCCAGTGTGTAGCATGTTCAAACACCATACATGTAGGGATGGGGATATGGCTTGGCTGGGACAGTGCTTGCCATGAGCATGAGCGCATGAGTTCTGTCCTCAGTACTCACATTAACAAGCCTGTGGCAGAAGTGGAGACAGGTGGATCCCAGGGGCTCGCGGCCACCCAGCCTAGCTGAATCCGCCAGTGTCAAGGAAAAGTTGAGAAAAACTCTGCCTCAAAAAGTAAGGTATCCTGAAGCATGACACATCAGGTTGACCTCTAGCTTCCACACACATGCACACCCTCACACCCACATGTGCGTCCATAATCACATAGCAATGTATGCACACACAGACACACAGACACACGGATCGTTTACAGAGTTTGGCTTCCGCGGACCGCATGTCCCGTGGCTCTTGCAGTTAAAAGAAAACAAAACAAGACACAACTCTGAGTTCTGAGAAAAACCATTTCTTATGGAGCTCAGCTGTCCTTTCAGGCTTACAGAGTCCAAGCTGTGAGCGCGGAGTGGGCGCTAGGCCAGGTGACGATGCCCGGAGCCCAGGATTTCTGGCAGCCTGGCTTTCCCCCAGCATCTTCACCTGAGATCCATTGCAGGATTCAATGGAGCAGTAGACATGGAATGAAATTGGGTTCCGTTTCCCAAATCTCTACTTAGAGGCTATGCCCTTAGGAAGTCTCTTGAGGGCTACTCTCCTCATCCCAAGAAGCCGTTGGTGGCCCTCCCACAGGATTCTAAACCGTGTAACTCAGGCCTCGCTGAGGGCACGAACCACCTGAAGACCTTATTTCAAATGCAGAGCCTGGCTCGGCAGACCAGAGTGACATCTGCTTATGAGGAACAGGTCTCTAGGCTCACTCCCATAGGGACCCATGTACCTACAAGTCCTGCCTATGAATTTCTGAATTCTCCAAGGAAGAGCGGGTGCCTTGGGGGCTCTCCATCCCCAGCGAGTAATAGTGGATGCACCAAGGATGGCAGAGAAGGAGGAAACAGGCCTCCCTCCCTAGAACCAGGAGAGTCCGTGCCAAGCCTAAGACAGGGCTCAGATGCAGCCAGTACAGGACAACTTCAGAGTCACGTGACTTACACAGGCTGAGAGAACGGTGTAAGGGAGAGAATGGGGCAGAGGGAGAGGTGAACGCAGCAGGCAAGAGCATTCCCATAACTCAAACATCCCGAAAGTCTTTTCTGAAGCCTCTTCCCACCCTTCCTTCTTTTCTCCTTCCATTCCTCTTTTTATTATCTCTGATTCAGGCTGACTTTACACTACTTCTCTGGATTTTGGCAAAAGAAAATTGTGCTTCCTGAATGGCCATGTTCGTCCTCTCCTCAGCTCCGTTTCCTCTCTATCTATTCATTTATCCATGTATCATCCATCCATGTATTGTATATGTTTATCCACTCATTCCATGTGTCTTCTTGCAGATAATCCAAGTATTCCTACCTCTGTCATGATTCCGAGTTGGACAGTATCTGAAGTTCCTGCCTTCAGGACCACAAAGGACCGGAGTACCACTGCTGCCAGGTACAGAACCGTAACCCAAGTCAGCGGCTGTTGTCTCCCCTCCAGACCCTGAAGTCACACTCACAGATATGTCTACAGGCTGCTGGGATCCTTGTTTGAATGCATTTTGTGTGCAGCCCGAGTGCTGAAAGGATGTGGGGGCTGAGGATGAAGATGGGGTGGGGTGGAACAGAAGCTGACTCAAGTCACCTCAGTGTGTGTGGAAATTCGCAGAGAGGTGAGAGGTGGTGACTGGCTGAGGAAAGGGGCTCCTGCTCTCCCCAGCTCACCTTCTATGTTTCTGTGTAGTACAGGGGAAATGGCGTATTTGACAAAGGCTATTAGTCCCACCAACCCAGGAATGGCATGGTGTGCTGGAATGCTCTGAGTGAGCCTGGGTTTTCATGGCAGGCAGACTGCGTGACTTCAGATAAGTCGGGAACCTCTGTAGCATTAGTTTCCTGTAGTGTAGGGACACTGGAGAGCCAGAGCTGGAAGATGATCAAGCCCACAACATGTTTTGTTTTTGTCTTTGTCTTTGTCTTTTTTGTGACAAGAACTCATTGTGCACCCTGGCTGGCCTGTAACTCTGTGTAGACCAGGCTGGCTGCAAACTCAAGAGATCCACCTGCCTCTGCCTCCCGAGTGCTGAGACTAAAGGCGTGCGCCATCTTGCCTAGCTAGCCCCACAACTCTTGCAGTTATGATGATGACCTTCTCTAGTTTTGGCCTTTGCTTTTGTTTTGTTTCGTTTTGTTTTGCTGCTTTGTTTTACTTGATTAATTAAGTTGTTTTCATTTTTGTATGATTTCAACACTGAGCTGAGTACTTCACATAGACGAAGTGACAATACCTGGACATAAATTCTCAACGGTTTCATTGTTGTTGCTGGGGATGGAAATTGGGGCCTCGCCCATGCTACATAGGTGATTTATCTCCAATCTACATCTCCAGTCAGTGGTTGCAGGATTTGACAATAAGAGTTTCAGATTTCTAACAGGCAATTGTGTTAGCCATCTTCCCATTGCTGATCACCCATTGCTGGGTGATCAGCTTATAAAGATGGGCGGAGTCTAGTTTGATTAGGAGTTCTAGAGGCTTCAGTACACGGCTTTTGGACCTGTGACAGGTACATGGAGAATGCAGCAGGTGACAAAGCCTTTCCCCATAGCCAGGCTATGAAGAAAAAAAGAAGGGGGACTGGGTTCCATTATTACATTGAGGATGGAAGAATGGATAGAGATAGATATGTATGTGGAGAGATGATGGATAAATGAATGAATGGGTGAATAATGGAATGAATAAATGGTTGGATGAATTGATAGATACCCTTAATGATTTAAAAAAAAGTCTCCCACTAGTCTGTGTCTACCTCATCTTCACAGTTTTCATTGCATTCTGCATCACATCTATTTTAGTAAGACTGTTGTTCTCCTGGCACTGAGGACAGAACCCAAGGCCTCATGCATCCTTAGTCATGTTCTGAACTGCACGTTCAGCCCCAGCAGGAATAATTTTAAATACTAAACACGTGTTGGCTAACCTGCAGCAACACTACTTCATTTCTGCACTGTGACTCATCTGCGAATTATGATATTCAGAAGATGGCTTGCCTATGTAGAGTGATATATGCAGAGTGACATAAATGCTCAGGTTCTCCTGTGGAAATTGTATATAGGTAAATGATTTTAAATTGTTTGTAAACAATGGACTGGAGAGACGGCTCAGCAGTTAAGAGAACTTGCTGCCTTAGCAGAAGACTCAGGTTCAGTTCTGAGTGCTCACATCAGGCAACTCATGACCACTTACATAGCCACACATCCTGCGCCCTCTTCTGGCTTCTGTGAATAGTGCACTCACATGCACAAACCTACCCACAGCACCATGATGTACACATATACAGAAATAAAAATACAACCTTTAAAAAAACTAAAAGTGATATTAATGACTAATTACAGACTAATTGTGTTTTCTGGTTAGTGGGAAATTATACAGTGGTGGAAATTAGAATCATTGAGATCAGGGACTGATGTCGAAGGGCAATTTTAGCAGGAACGATGAGGCAATGTGAGCAATTGGAATTAGTGCCATGCTGAGGTATGTCTAACCATGAATAAAGACTAAGCAAGACTATGAGAAAGCACTTTAGATGGGTTGGAATGAAGGAAACAATTTCTCTGTTAATTCAACATCTAAATGAAGACACGTCCCAAAGAGACTTTTTTACAGTTACAATAGTAACTGTAAAGAGGAGCATGTATGCCAAGCTAATGTTGCCTGCTGCTGCAGTTTAGATCTGATGTGTGCTGCAAAGGCCCAAGTGTTAAAGACTTGGTCACTATTGGGAAGTAGTAGGAACTTTAGAAGACTCTATAGCCCGTGTGACCTTTGTCTGATTCTTTGTCACCTCTCCTTTTGTCCCTGTGTCCCGTCATGCAGAATGCTTGGGTCTTCAACAGTTTCCCTATATGCCGAGGGTCAGGCAGGGTTTTCTCTCCTGTGTGGGTATTTTTCTATTGCTGTCTACCTGGAACATGGAGAATCATTTTGTTAAAATCATGACAAATGTACAATGTAAAATGCGGCTAAAAGTGAGAGGACCGTCCTCAGAAGCTGGTCAGAATGCTGACAACAGAGACCAGGTTCCCTGATATGGACCCCACTCCATTCCTCAGAGAAGGCCATGATGCTGGGTTAACCCTTCCTCCAGTATGCATCTCCTGGACCTGAACTCTATGCTCTCCACTAAAGGTGTTTCTCGTTGGTTATTTTAGGAGGTGACCATCTAAACTGCATAGGGCCAGAGGCTGTGGGAAAGCTGCATGAAGGACCTAAGTTGAAAATATTGGATGAGAAGAATTTCCTAGACTCTGCAGCATGGATGGTCATTGCCTTAATCTTCAATCTCCTCTCTCCACAGGCTCTCCACATCCAGCATTATTATTCTCATGGTCTGTGGACTCTTCAGTAAGACTCTGATCTTCACTGTCTTGTTTGCTGTCACACAAAGGTCATTTGGATGACAGAGCATGAAGCCACACAACAGTAACCTCTGACCTCCAGCCATGTCTGTCTCACAGAAGGAGCTGGGGTGGAGGGCTAAGATGAAGCTCTGACAAGAACTGAGGCTGTGATTGCAGGTGACATCTAAGGCTCAGGATGCTCACTCTCCTCAGTTCATCAGTCATCTGGGATGTGTGACCTCAGAAGAGAGGAAGCAACCTCAGCACACGCTGGCCATTCCCCCTAATAGGAGGATTTATGAAATAAAGAGAGCCCAGGTCATCTCCCTGTCACCTTTTGTGGAAGAAGTGAGGTCTAGGGGTCACCGTTGACATTCCCACCCCTGTCTGTCCCTTCCGTGGTCCAGTTCTAGCCACCTGGATAGGGTCCTTGCTCATGAAGCATCCTGCTCTCCCAGCCTCTGGGGCCTTCCTCTCTAGGAGTCAGACGCTCAGATTTCTGCCTCCATCTGTGGTCCTCTGAACACTCCCAACCATGGACCAAGAAGACAAGATCCCACCTTGACAATTATGCAACTGGGAGAGAGAAATCAAGTTAAGTTTGATGTTGTTGCCTGGGAAACACTTGGAGGAGGGGATGGCATCCATTGGATTGGATCAGCACATGGCGTTAACATGCTGTGTGTGTTTCATCACTGACTGCTCATGCAACCCCTAAGAGCTAAGGCATATATAACCAGAGTGAGGCCACAGGAGTAACAGGCCACCTCCTCCTGGCAGGAATGCAATCTAGACAGTTCCCTTGCTGAAGGGCTCCAAAGGCAGAGAGATGTGGAGCCAGGCTCTGCTGCTAGCTGAATACCCCTTTCCTGTACAGAGGCAGAAGCCAACCTTGGAGGGGACAGGAGCCCATCCCAGGCTGTCCCCTGTGTGCCTCTACCTTCCACTCACCTCTTTCTCCTCTCAGTCTCCTCCCAGGAGCCCTATGGTGCCAATGCTTTCTCTGGGACATTTTCTTGTTTCCCACCTCTTTGGTCTCTAAAGACAAGGTGACCCTGTGGGCAGGAAAGGATGGTACATGAGTTCGTTCTACTTCAGCAATGGCTGAGGCCAGCTTCATCCAAAAGTCCCCAAGAGCAAGCACAGCTCACCACATAGCAGCCAGCTCACTTGACCTCAGCCAGGAGGCTGACAAGTGGCCGGACCACCCATCTCAGGTCAGAGAGGAAACATTTCATCACAACTGTGATGCTTTTTAAATGTACGCATCGTATTCTTAGATAATGTCTAACTTTTGATCTCTGCAAAGTGTGAGCTGTCACTTCTACCTGTGTGATTTTTGGCCCTGATCATTAGAAGTTCTAGAGCTAGAATAATTGCTGGGTCATCCCACATCGATAAGTAATCAAGAAAATGCACCAGAGACTTACCCACAGGCCAATCTAATGTAGACAATTCCCTACTTCCATGTCTAGGATTATGTCAAGTTTACAAAAACCAACCAGCACAGGGATCAAAATAATAATAATAATAATAATAATAATAATAATAATAATAATAATAATAATAATAAATAATAGCTTTCTCTCTCTTACTCCCCTCCCTTCCCTTCCCTTCCCTTCCCTTCCCTTCCCTTCCCTTCCCTGTCATTCCCTTCTTAAAACTTTTTGTCGATTGACTTATTTTGTTATGAGTATATGTATGTGCACTATACGCCTGGTGCCCTTGAAGATGGTGCCAGAGAGGGCTTTGGATCCCCTGGAACTAGAGTTACAGACAATTGCAAGCCACCATGTGGGTGCTGGGAACTGAACTCAGGTCTTCTGCATGAGCAACAAGTGCTCTTAACTCCTGAGCCAACTCTCTAGCCTGGCAAATGGATCCCTCTTTTTTCTTCATGTTGTTGGGTAGCAAACTAACTGAGGTGTTGTGCATGCTAGGTAAATGTCCTATCACGGAGGGGTGCCCCAGCCCTTGTTTTATTTAATTTCTTGTTTATTTTTAATTGTGTGCATACAGAAGGCCGAGGGTATACACAATGTGAGTGTTCATGTGAGTGTCCTAGGAATCTAGAAGAGGGCAGTGGATTTCTGGAGCTGGAGTTGCAGACATAGGTTTCGAAGCTGAACTTGGGCAGTATGCTCTTTAACCACTGAGCCTGCTCTCCTGACCTCAGCCCTTGTTTGTTTGTTTGTTTGTTTGTTTGTTTTGGGGGGAGGGTTGTTTGGTTTTGTTGAGACAGGATCTTAAACTCACAATCCTCCCCTCTTAGCCTACCCATCATAGCCAGCAGCCTCCTTGTCTTGGTACCTAGCTTTTATTCTTAAATTGATGAGTCCCTGTAGCACTAGTTAAAACAAAAACAAAAACAAAAACAAAAAAACACCTCTACCTTATTTGGGGTGTTTAGACCTCAACCTTCCTTCCAACCTCCCAACCCTACATAGGAGAGATAAGGTTAGTGGGGAGAGAGGGCCCCTTTACGTCTCCCAGCTGCTTAGGGTCAATGGGTTCTTTTAGGGCTCTGTTCCAATCCCCATCAGCATCAGGCATAGTGTTCTTCAATCCACTATACCCCAAACCGTTTCTTTCCATCTGTCTGCTCCAAACCGCCACACTGCCTGCCTCTCCGGTCTCTCCAAACTGCTCCTCGCCACATACCAACACCACAGGGTGAAAATCAGTGGGCTGATTGCTCACAGGTGTGCCCGTGGGTGTGCTCCTCGTGGCTCTCAGTACACTGGCCTGTGTGAACTGGCTCAAGGTGATGTGAGCCACACTAGCATCGTGTCTTCGGTTTGGTATTTGTTTTATTTTGTTTTGGTTCCCTGTTGCCCTGATGAAAGATGCTAACTAAAACAATTTAAAGAAGGCGTTTGTTTCGGCTTGCAGTTCCTGAAGGGCACAATTGTCTTAGCAGGGAAGCCATGTCAGAGGAGCAGGACACTTTGCTGGATGGTTACGTCACATCTGCACTCAGGAATCAGACAAGGAATGCAAAGTGGGACCCAGCTATGAAACCTCAAAGCCTGACTCCTGCAACCCAGTTTCTCCTGAGGAACTCCACCCCTAAGGGTTCTGCAATCTTCCCAGCTAGAGGGCAAACGTGCATGCACACACTGAAAGGGGAATGTGTCATGGCCAAGCCACCATACCTGCTTGCCCTGGGGTGGAAACAACAGTAACAGGTAGTGATGCCCCACTTCTTCTCCAGGTATTTGAACAGGTAAGGCTCTTCTGACATTTGTAGGCCCAGCCCGGACTGACGTCGGGGGCCCTCTGAGGGTCACGGCAGAGCCTGGCCTTCCTCTCTCTGCTCCCCTGAAGAAGCCTGCACCCCCAGTGACTGGGTCCTGGCAGCCAGCAACCCCCTGAACATCCCCCTTTTCCAGATTCCATACCAGATCCCCACAGCTTCTGTCCTAAGGTCACGTCCTGGGGCGAGTGCATTCAAATCTCTCCCAACAGCCATCTCTCCTGTGTGGTTGCTCTCACTGGCTTCCTCTGCTTTCACCCTCACCATCTTTCAGAGAATCCTCCCACCTTTTCAGAGCACAGGAAGACCACACTCCACAACCTGCCCTCTGCCCTGTGGCCATACCCACACATCCTCCAGACCTCAAAGCCACCGTCTACTTTTTGACCCATTTTTTTCCTCACTCCACCTCCCTAACCATTTAAAACATTGTTCAATATATTCTAAACATTATATTTATTGCACAAGTAATTCCCAAGTATATGCGTGTCAGTACTTCAAACAAACATTTCAGGTGTTGATGGAAAGATACAGTTTTATTTAGACAGATGGGCAAGGTCAGTCAGCCACCACCTCTCACCCTAGCTCTGAGGATCTGACGCCATCTTTTGGCCCCCATGAGTGCCTACAGTCACGTGCACATTCCCACATAGCCACACACATCCATGCATATAAACAAACAGTAAAAATAAGCCTTAAAACATAATCCTAACCAATCCAGGAAGGGTTGACATTTTTTTCTAAATTCTAAATGTAGCCTTCCTCACTCTAAAAACCACCTGGATAACCTGAACACCCTACCTGATATTCCTGCTATCCATCCCTTTGTCCGTCCCTCTGCCCTTTCTAGGACGCTCCTACTACAAGAAGCAGGCCACTAGAGGCTCGTAAGTATCTCTGACAAGGTCCAATAACCAACACAGGTTTCCATATCTAACAGACATGGCAACAGCTCCCCTTGTGGTGCAAAGAGGAATTGCATACAGCCTGGCCACCCATTCTGTGTGTTAGTATTAGTTAGCTCTGCTTATTATAATAGCTGGTTTGTTTTGTTTTCTCGTTGTTGCTCTAAGACAGATACCCATGTAGCCCAGGCTGGTCTCAAACTAGTTATGCATACAGGGTTGCTCTTTCTTCTCCATCCCCCAAGTGCTGGGACTATAAACCTGCTCCACGTGCCAGATAAAACCCACGGCTTCTCGCAGGCTAGGCAGACCCTCTGTCCACTACACCTCCCCCACTTCCGTAAATCACATCCTTTTTCAAAAAAGAATAATTCCAAGGAGAGCAACAGAACCAGAAAATTTGAACACAGGGGTCTTCCCAGAGACTCATACTCCAACCAAGTACCATGCATGGAGATAACCTAGAACCCCTGCCCAGATGAAGCCCATGGCAGTTCAGTGTCCAAGTGGGTTACATAGTAATGGGAAGAGGGACGGCTTCTGACATAATCTGATTGGCCTGCTCTTTGATCACCTCCCCCTGAGTGGGGAGAAGCCTTACCAGGCCACAGAAGATTAAAATGCAGCCACTCCTGATGAGATCTGATAGACTAAGATCAGAAGAAAGGAGAGGAGGACCTCCCCTATCAGTGGACTTGGGGAGGGGCATGCGTGAAAAAGGGGGAGGGAGGGTGGGACCGGGAGGGGAGGAAGGAGGGGCTTATGGGGGGATACAAAGTGAATAGACTGTAATTAATAAAAATAATAATAAAAATGATTAAATAAATAAAAATTCAACCATCTAAAAAAAAAGAATAATTCATTAATGAAAAAGATTCAATGCTTTCTTCTGTTTAGTTGTGTTCTCCAGTGTGCACAGATGGCAGAGTTGAGTGTGCAAAGAGGAGCCCAACCTGAGTTTCTGGGCCCCCTCTCTCCTATCCTTCTACCCCACCCTCCCACTGTCTCTGAGACTCCCCCCACCTCAGGGCTCTTATCATACGTCCCTCACCTTTTCCAGAAGCCATGCACACACCTCTTTCTTGGGATTGAATCTCTATATACCCTGTCTTCCCACTATTCCCCAACACCCA